CCCCAAAACCCCAAAACCCCAAAACCCCAAAACCCCTAAAACTCCTCTATAATTGAATTTTTATATTATTATTCAGTTCGGAATCCAGACATTTTCAAAGTAAGAAATCAATGTTTCCAACTAGGATTAATAAGTTCTGATTGCCCTCACCATGGCTTATATAGGTAAATATGATGCTGAAAGCCACAAGAGATGCAATGGGAGATTATTCCAAAAATTCTTCCTTACCTCATAACTTCTACTCTGAAAGCTCCTCTTCCTCCTCCGATGATGATCGTGAGGATGAAGTTAGTGAGATCCATGACCAGGTTAGAAGGTCAATGATGAGGTATGGAGTGGATGCTCGGAAGAAGAATGTCAGGATCTCTCAGATTATTTAAAATCATCGCGTTTGCTGCAGCAATAATAGTGATTCCTGCTGAGTTGATTCTTCGCGATGTGCTAATGGATGCGGAGCAAGGATTTATTTCTAGATTCCAGAGAGCTTTACATCATTCATTTTGGGCAACTCTAGCAAAAATCATAATCTACACAGGAGAAGTGAAGTTTATCGAAGGTTGGGCTGTATTTTTATATCTCTCCTCAGACAGCTTGCTTGGATTCAAGGCTTCCATGGTTACCTTTACAGGGGTGCTTCTCATTGCCTTACTTAAACTACTTTATCAGATTCCTCGCCCATTCTGGATATCTACTGAAGTTCAAGGAAAAGCTTGAAACTTTGACTTCTCAGGGCCTTCCGATCATGTATTTTTGGCTACTTTCTTCTACTCATATGTTATCTTAATCTATTCCAAGTACACTGACAGGCTTGCGAATAAATTACAAATCGGGCTTTTATTGATGAATATTCTTGTGGTCATTCTTAATGCTCTAGCCTTGAATTATTTAGGGAGCACCTTCCTTTTCCAGAGCCTCATTGGAGCTATTTGTGGTGTCCTATACTGAATATTCTGTGTAACATTTGATGCGGATATCCATTCTGCATGTGAAAGAATAGCATTTTTGATTAAAACTTCCAGATACATGAAATTCAAAGTTTTTTTCATAGCACTCGGAGTATTTGTGTTGACATTTATGTATTTCAACAGCGTCTTGGTCACTTTTAAAGTAGACCATCTATGGATCCAGAATTCAATAGATGATTGAAACAAGAACATTAATTATGAAGCCAGAATGGGCATTGATCCTACATTTGAAGACACATCTATTATTTTTGGAATCATAGGAGCCACTTTTGGTGCATCCACAGCTAATATCACCATCGGAAATATTGTATGGTCCCATACAGTTTGGTGGAAACGGCTGCTAAGGGGCCTGATTGGGTTTATCTTCATTGTTGGGATCCATCTCTTGCCTTTGCTCATAGCTTATCATGATTTTACAACTAAATATTTCTTTAATGAGTTGGTTCCAACTTTAGCTGCCTCTTACATAGCATTTGGAATCATACCAATTTTATGAAATTACTTGAAGCTTACCAATCAATATCATGAAAGGTCACAATCTGTGTTGTCAGTTGCTTCTTTCCGCCAAGTAATTCAGAACGAATCTGGTAGCTCATCCAGTAAACCAAGTAGCGAGGAGTCTAAAAGGATGCAGGATTCCATTATCAACCCCAAACATGAAGAAAAGTAAGCTTGAAGATTATTTATGTTAGGAAATTGCCCTTTAAAAGAAGCGTTGCCAGCAATAATGCAGATGGTGATAAGTCAGATGATATCCCTCTTTTATCTAAAGAGTAATTTATTAGTCCAAATTGCTTTTATAACCAAGGTTTCAACTGTCGAAGTTTTCATTGGGGTTTTGGGGTTTTGGGGTTTTGGGGTTTTGGGG